GCGCGCGGGGGGCCGGGCAGGTGCGAAACGGGGGACGTGGCGCTTCCCGAACAAACCTGCCCCCACGTTTCCAAGCAGAGCCCGTCTCGGGGAGGAGCTGCCGGGGAACTGGGGCCCTGGCGCCTCTGGCCTTTGCGTCACGCACAGGCCCCGTTCTCCTCGGAAGCAGTTGGGGCCCTGCTGCTCCGGCAGGGAACGTCCTTCTCGCAGTCCTGGGTGGTGTTGGGCTGGAATAATTATGGAGCCCGGACTGTCGTTACAAACCACCCCGGAAGCGTGGGGATGTACAACAGGAGGCACACCGTGCTATAAACCCACGTTGTACTTATATAGGAAGCCACTTGTGAATAGGATCGTACGCAGTAGTTTTTCCCGAAGTAGGGGGGTGGGCAACCATTTCAGACCAAAGAGCCATGTAAGAATGCCCATTTGCATGACTGAAAATACATAACTTAGTATTATTGATCATTGACATGATGATTAATAATAGCAGAAATGAAACATTGTATTCACAGACTTTATTTAATGGGTATTCTGTATCTTTTCGCACATTTCTGTGAAGTTTACATCATAACTGGTCAAATCCAGCTTCATGCATACATTAAGGTGGACTTCTGTCAATCTTATGGCAGGGGGCTGGGGATGTGGGGGTGCAGGAGTCATGGGGAGGGTGCAGGAGGCAGGGAGCTGGGGATGGGAAGTAGAGTATGTGGGGAAGCCCAGAGGCCAGATGGGGTCGGACTGTGGGGCCTGCCCCAGGATCGGGGTCAAGGACAGGATGCTTTAGCTAGATGGGTGCTGGGCCAGGCTGCCATGGGAGCAGCTGCACCACAGCCACAGGTCTGGCCCATATCGCCTGCCCCGGCCACCGCGCCAGGGTTGGGGAAGGGCTGAAGCTGGGGCCAGAGCCACTGTGGGGCTGTATGATGGGCAGTCACCCTATGTGCTGGGACTGGAGCTGGGGTTATGGTGCAACTGCACCTCAGCCCTGGCCCTAGGAGCAGCCACACTGTGGTCCAGCTCTGGCATACAGGATAGCAGTCTCCTGCGCAGCTCGAGTGGGTCATGTGGTGATCACCAGAGCTGGAACCGGGCGGGGTCCCAGTAGGGACAGTTGCACTGCAGCCCAGCTCTGGCACACAGGGGAGCCAAATATCGCTAAAAGAACCATATTTGGTGCCTTGCTGAGCCATAGGTTACAGGTCCCTGCCATAGTATGTGCTATAAAACTGTGAAGACATTTCCACTAGCTGCTGACCCCAGTGTCTTGCCTTATTCCACCCCCACCTCTCAATCTGGAGCATTGCCGTTCCCCATTTCTGAGGGGACAGCCATTACTCCCAAGTGGGGCAAGGCAGGACTATGCAGGTAGTTCCAATCTAGGAACCACTGCAGCCTGAGGTTTGGTTGACAAAACCCTCTGGTGTGTTTAGTAGAGCCTTGCAGATCCATGGATATCCACTTTATATCCGCAGGTATCTGCATCTGTGGATGTGCGTATTTGCAGCTCATTTCTGTGGATATAGATGTGGATACAAAATTTTGTATCTGTGCAGTGCTCTAGTGATGAAGGAGTGGGGGTGTTAGTGTGTAATTGAATAGTTGAGTAACTACATCAAATTTTAGCGGTTACATGACTATTGGATAGTCGCTGGGAGTGGGCCTGGCTGACAGTGCACTCCTGGCCCCAATTCTGGGAAGCCCTCTGCCACCAGTGTTCCCTCTAAGCTGTGGGGCAGCACAACTTCACAGGTGATTAATCAGCCCTGCCAAGTCAGAGGTTCAGGGCTCCTATAAAGCTGTGCTGCCGTGTAGCTTAGAGGGAACACTGCCTGCCACCCCTCGCTGCTGCCTATGATCTAGAGCAGGGCTACTCAACTTTGAAAGCCCCGGGGGCCACAATGATATTCATAGCACATGCTGAGGGCTGCAACTTAAGTATGGTTGCATATAATATGTAAATATATATATGCAAATAGCTTTTCACACAAACAGGTATGAATACAAAGATTAAGGCAAGACTACACAACACACAGGCCCCATTTAAGTCAGTTCTGCTGATATTAATAAAATGCAATATTTACCTGATTTCTATCCAATATGACAGCACTTTTAATGAACAATGACAGTCCAGGAATTTAACTACTAAAATGCATATGAACAGAAGACCATTATACTGACTCCTTTTTTGTTTTGGCTCCTGCCCATGGACTGTATGTTGAGCCCTGCATAAACCCAAATTGTGGGCTGCTTGGTGAGCAGCCCTGATATAGAGGCAGCAGCTCAGGATGGCAGTGGGGGCTCCCTGGGAGTGCACTATCTACTGGCCCTGCCTCTGGGGGGGAGCATTTTAGTAACCATGTAACCGCTAAAAGTTGTTGTGGCTACACGATTACTAAAATAAATTATATCTAATATCCTTAGTAGAGACTCTATTCTTGTATTTTTAACCAGGGCTCGACAAATCGCTGTTCTACTTGCCCGTGGCGAGTAGATTTCAGCCAGTCACCCTGTTCACCGGCAGCGCGCGCATGCGCAATGCGGGTCTTGCGCATGCGCGGTGCAGGGCTGGCGAGTAGATTTTGCCGCCGTTTG